GACTGCGGCACCTCCGACCTCCATCGCCTAACTATGGTCCTACCAACCAAATGAATAGGCCAGCACTCTCTTGAGAATATTCTCTGATCACTGGATTATTCCAACTCTTCCTATATAATGTGATCTATATGATATATATTTTTTACATTGAGCCAAGGCCTTCCCTTGAGGAAAGACATCATTTGTAATTGACTATAAGTAATAGTATAATCATTTCAACTAGGTAAGATCCTGTGATTTTTCTTCCTTTTCAAGATTTTTCACTTAAAAATTATGGCATCTCTTATAACCTTTTCACCCCTCTCTCTTTATATGTATGTGTATTAAATCTTCGTTCAAAGCTAAGATGCTAAAATCTTTATCTCTCTATCATTGCACATGTTTCATAATACAATAACACTTTAATGTGTTGGCTGCTTATACAGTAATTGAACTATCTAAAATAACCTGATTTGGATCGAGTAATACTTATAGGTTAATTAGCATTTACATAATTTCTATAAATTTTTAGAGTTATTGTTATGCCTAATTTAATCACCAAAAATTTCATTATTTGATTTAGAGAGAAAATTTTAATAAATGGAGATTATCCTTTGGGAGTGTTGCATCAAAATCAAGTTTGCGTTGTGACACTTATTTCTTTATTTTTAGTGCAAAATTCTTTCCCTTAAGAACACTGCAACGTTATCATAATTGATGCTTTGATGCTCATCACTCCATCTTCATAACATAATTATGTTCCCTTTCGAGGGGAGCAAGCTTGCGGCGTTGTCTCCATGGCATTGTGCACTTGGAAAAATATAACTTATATAATTGTTATATGTGGTTCAACTTCATAGTTTACATCCATGATACAATGAGGTCGGAGGGTGTCATGACACTTAGAAAAAAATAACTTTTATATAATTGTATGATTTATATGTGTTGAACTTCATAATTTACATTCATGATACAATGAGGACGAAGAGTCCACTCTTAATTATAAAATACACAATATGTAAATGATGTCCACATTGACCCATTGGACAATACTGATAAGTGAGGAACAAATAACAACGCATCCTTCTCATACAAGAGTTTATTTCAATGGAGTCCAAAAAGTTCATATGCTATCATATGTGAGGAGCTTTTATAAGGAGGAGATTGGCCTCTAATTAGCTTGAGGTAGCATGCAGGACATACAACATGTTCAAATGCAATATAGTGATGAGTTACATTTATTTGACAACTAGATAACTAACTATTAGTTTGATTCATGTGATATGCAAGGCTTAGAGAGCTATCTTGATCATGAAAGAATGACATGTACTATTGGCATACCAATCTTCATGTGAACATCAAAAAGAATATAACATGAGTATGCTTTGTATGAATAATATGGTATCAAAAGCTTGACGAGGATTCCCATGGTAATTGACTTTCTTGAGAAATTATTGACGACTTATCAAGTAAGTAGTTGAGGTACTAAGGAGACTGCGTTCTTTAGAGGAGGCTCTAAGAAGGCCAAGTTCAATGAAGGAAAGCAACAAAAAGATTGATATCCTTGGAGGAAGCCACCTAGGGAGTAGGGAGTCTAAGTTCTTTAGATAAGAACATTGAGAAAGCCAACTTCCTAAGATGAGCCATTCAAGAGGTCGAGTTCTTTAATGGAAGTCATTAAGCATGTATGCTTTCCCTTAAAGGGGTCACTTATAAGATAATCTTTTTGGAGGACGTCATCGAAGAAAGCTATGAAAAGGCAAATCTTTTATGGTATCACTTATTTGATGAAGTTTGCAAAAGTTTCAAAGAAGATTGACTATTAGATGAAGTCAACTTCAACTTCCTTAGAGGAAGTTGTTGAGGTCTCTTAGTAGAATAATTATTAGGTCCGGACACTTGGCGTAGTTCTACATCTGGACGCCAATAACATGTTGCTACGTGCTCTTACTCTTTACCGCACGGCCCGACGACCCAGACCCAGATCAGAACCCGGTATTGCTATGTTTGGGTATTGCTAGGTATTATTCAGCATTGCTAGAAATTACTTGGCAATAACGAGAAATACCGCTCTGTCAAGACCAATGCATAGCAATACTGAGCAATACCTATCAAAATCGGGGTATTGCTAGGTATTGCTCGGTGTTGCTAGGTATTGGTCTTGACAAATTGATATTTCTCGTTATTATCGACCAATACTGAGCAATACCTAGCAATACCCCGGTCTGTACAAATCAACTAATACATAGCAATACCGGGTCCAGGTCGTTGGGCCGCACGGTAAAGAGTAAGAGCACGTGGCGACATATTATTGGCATCCGGATGTAGAGCTACATTAGGTGTCCGGACCTAATAATTATTCCTCTTGGTGAAGGTGCCAAGATAGTTAGAAGGAACTTTGGGTTAAGATGAGGATGGTGAAGGCATAGAAGGCATTGACCAAAATAATTTGTGGAAGCAAGTTAATTATTGTGTAATTTTACAGGTAATAATTACAATTAAGAATGAGTAACCTTCAAAATTTTGGGTTAAGATGAGGATGATGAAGGATGTTTGGTGATCACATATAATAATTTCGTCAAAAGTGAAGGTCATTAAATTCAAGAGGAATTATTCTGTACAGAGACCGACTGCAGAACATCAATCAAAGACCAATTAGAATGCGAACACATCAATAGTACCAAATAATATCAAACAATATCAAGCAAAAATAACATAATATATTTTAATTAATCTCCAAAGCACAATCGACATCGCACCTAATAATTAATTCAAATTCAGGGCAACAATTAACTTTTCCGTAATGTCAAAAAGTTCATGTGAGAGCGCTCTTCGGAACCCTAGCCATCGCTGAGGTTTCTCTCTTCTTGTTTTTAGCTTCTCCTCTCCCCCTCCGGCGATGCCGGAGGGATCCTCTTCTTCTCCTCCTTCTCCTTGTGATGCCCCAAGATCTAACTTGGAAAGAATGTCAATCAAATTTTCCAAACAATTTACCAGAGTTATCTAAAACCTTCAATTAAGCAGTCTATCAAACATCTATAAAATATAAAACATCAATATACAAGTCGATTCATATCTCAAAAGTCATGTACAATACTCAGGAACTACACTACAATCACCAGTACTGAAATCTATCCTGAGTACAAAAGAATCAAAATCAATCAAAAGATAAAAACCTGAAGATCCGGATCAATTCCTATCTTCTGCTCCCTTGCCCTGACCTGAAAATATCAACCACATATAATGAGCTTTACAAAGCCCAGTAGGTCACCTAATACCTATAACTGAAATCAAAGCACGGCGATGCTATCAATATGCATGTCAGTCAATCAAATCAATATCAGTCAATGGTCAATGAATCTATGCAATACGGAAATCCAGTAGTCAATAAAACCAGTCAATGCAGCGGCAGACGAATCAATAAATCAAGCTCAATCAATCCACGTCAATCTCGAAGAAATCCGTACACAAAAGAAAATCAGTCAATCCGTCAAATCAATCAAGTCGTCGAATCAATCAATCCGTTAAATCAATCGCTATCAAATCAAAT